CCTCAAGAATCTGTATTGCATCTAATTAGCAAATGACTCTGGAAGCCAACTCAAAGTTTTAAAAATTGCAGTTATCCTAAGGACGGGGTAGGGCAGTAACTACATAACAAAAATTTACCAGGATGCTAAATATTTACATATATTATTTCATTTTGATCCCCACTCAACCAATTTAAAAAGTATTGATATTTCCATTTTAAAGATGTAGAAATTGAGGTATGGGAAGATTAAGCTATTTGCCTGGGTGAAGCCAGGATTCTCACCCAGGTCTGCCTGACACTAATATCCACACTCTTAATCTCCTACCACCTATGCCAGTGGTCTATGAAGAAAGTAGAAGCTACGAAACTTTTCATCCATTCATTAAGAAACATGTATAATATTTGCATACCAGGCTGATATCTGCCATCCTTACTGCAACTAAAATAAGATTTCCCAAAGAAAAAATACTTTATTTACAAAGGAAGCTGACCTATATGAAAAGAAGATATCAGTACTTTGCTATTTCAGAGCTTAAAGAAAGAAAAATTAAAATGGTAATGCATGACCAAATTATCTTCCAAAATAAAGGAAAGGTCACTACAAGTTGACCTTTCCTTTGAGTTGGAGAAAACTAAAACACTGCCATGAAAAGTTTTTGCACTCAAAAACTGCAACTGGTGACTTATGCATCACACAGATGCAACTGACCTGTATGTAGCAATTGATAAATCCTACTTATCATTTTCTTTGGTAATAACAGTAAGAAAAACTATCCTTCACAATCAACAAATCTCTCATTTTGGGAAAAACTGCTTGCAGCACTAGTCTCCTTATTACAAGTTTGTGACTGTGCCTTTAACAATACCACTGCCTCTACCAGAACGCCAATCACACCATCTGCTGTTTGAGCAGCAGCAATTCTTAACACCACTACCAAGTATTACACCTTTAACAGCAAATCCCAATACTAGCAACCAAAACAACCAAACCAAAACAGTTGGTTTATGGATTTCACCCACACGGCCAGCCAACAATCCAACTATCCATACAGCTACCTGACAAAACTCTGCCCCCCCCATTTATTAAGAACTATGTGCTGGGCACTGTGCAGATACTAACACTCCTCTTTACCTGCAGTAGGTTCTCCAAAACTAAAAGAAGTCCAGGGGTCTACCTCCCATAAGGAATGGTGCATACCATACCAAAGCACAGAGTTCGTGCCAATTATGAAATAGGAGCCCCTATTAAGCAAATTACAAAGCACCAATCACAAACCCATATGCATTTAGGACAACAGTTCTTAACCCTGGCTGCACATTAATCACCTAGGGAGCTTTAAAATAATGCCAATGTCTAGGCCTCATTCCAGACCAATTAAATCAGAATCTCTGGAAGTAGGGCCCAGCATGGATATATTTTCTTAAAGCTTCTTAAGTGATTCCAACTTGCAGCCAGGGTTGAAAACCACCAAGTTAACTATTTCCAGAGTGGTATTCCTGAAATCCATAAATCTATTAGATGGTACAAAGACCACAAACCCTCCCATCCACTGCACCTGTCATCTGGGCTGTATTAAAACGATACATCAATAAAATGTTATTTTAAGATTATGGTCCAATTATTTATTTGTTTATAGCAATGAAATACTAAACAAGAGAGGATTTTAGGTCATGTGCCATCCTCCCAATGCCCCCCGCCCCCACCTATTCTGAGAACCAGAAAGGCATACGGTTCTAGCAGGGAGGAAACTGTTGAAAAGCCCTTCCTCTTGCTTGGGAGAATGGAATTGGCAGTGTCCAGGCAAGAAGCAGCCTCAGCTCAGTAACCTGACAGGAGGGAACCTTCATAGTTCAGGCATGATTATCGAACTCTTTGTGCTCTTAAAGGAGAGTAATTATAGGCATGTGAAAAAAGGGAAGCACTCCCTGAGGAACTCTTCCTCACATGCTTCCCAAGAGGCAACAGGGCCATTAAAAATTCCATGATGAAGAGGAAAAACAGCCTGGGAACAGCCAGGAGGCAATACAGCAAATTAATACACCAGCCCTCCTTGGGGAAAGCTGTGATAAAACAGGAAACACTTCTCTTTGCAAAATAAAATTATACCACTAATGATAACATAGTCGCCACACACACACACACACACACACACACCCCGTGCTAATGATGCATGTGAAATTTCCAATGCTGTCCAGATGCTTTGAAATAAATGTTTCCCCACTACAAATAAAATGGGACAAGAAAAAGATACAATTTCCATTCGAAACAGTTTTTAGTACAGTCTTTCACCTGCTTCTTCCGCCACTTACTCCTTCACACTCCTCCTTGGTGCCAGGCTTTTGCTAAATGATCCACTCTTTGCAAAGCCTACTGCCCCGTTCTGAATCCAGTCTCATCAGTCTGCCACACTGGACCTAAACGGTTCCATCCTCACTAACCCCCTGCTGGGGAGGAACTATTACAAAGGAGTGACCAGTTGCCCTGAGAGCTCAGTATGTCATCATTCACATTTTCTAAACATTGCATAGAAGTCACTTGCGCTGATCATTTCCTATGGAGCAGTGGTTGCCAAGTTTTATTGATGTGCACCTTCATGAGTAAAAAATCTGAAAAAAGATGATATGTGTAGTACATACACATAAAATATAAATACATGCTACTAGACACAAATGTACAATTTAAAACAAAAAAAATTTGAAGGATCAGCTATCAATAAATGTAAGTTTAAAAATGTACCTCCCCTGTCCCAAAAAACCTTCATGTATGCAACCCACTTGGTATCTATTGCCCTGGGTATGATGTCTAGAAGTAAGGACAAAGAGGATGTATGATTATCCACATTCTCTCTCCTTTGCTTTCAGCAATGGTCCAAAACAATAAGCAATATTACCCTAGGGCTGAGTACATAGAAGCACAGTAGCGACTTCCTTAGGTTTCCAAGTTCAGCCACAAACACTGCCAGGCAAGAGAGTGAAGACAGTGATACAGATAATGAGATACACAAAGAAACAAGAAGCTAATGCCTAGTCCAGCCCCAGGATAAGGCTTTTAAAAGAAACAGGAAGCCTAACAAAAGTACGAATACTGATCTCAGCACAGCACAGCTCTAGGTAGCACAGGTAAAGTGAGGAGGGAAAGTAAACCACTTTCAGCATTCTGACATGGTATCATGCTACTCAAATCATTTTCCCAAACAGTATACACAGACATCATTTTATTTGATATTAAGACAAACAGCTGAAGGACTGTTTTCCTATGGATTAAAATCTTGTTGTCTTCTCTGACAGCTTGAGCACAACCTCTAAAAAGATCTCCCTGAGCCTCGAAGTTAGGGGCCCCTTCTCTGTGCTTTTTCAAACCTTTATTGTAATTGTCAACTTCCATACCTGACTTTCCCATGAGAACATAAGCTCCTTGAGGGTGGTATCTAAACAAAGAGGCTGGCTCACAGCAGGATCCCAGCAAACGCTGAATGAATTAATGATGAATAAACATCATGCTACTGAAGGAAACGCCTTACTACTAATAGTTTATATCACTCCACAATTTTCCACATTCTTTTTTTTTTTTTTTTTTTTTGAGACAGGGTCTCACTCTGTCATCCAGGCTAGAGTGCAGTGGCATCATTACAGCTCACTAAAACCTTGACCTCCTGAGCTCAAGCGATCCCACCTCAGCCTCCCAAGTAGCTGAGACTACAGGTGTACGTCACCAGACACAACTGATTTTTAAAAAAATTTTCTGTAGAAACAAGGTCTCACAATGTTATAGCCTAGGCTGGTTCCACATTCTTAATAACACCATTTGTGATGGTCTCTCTTTTCAAAAGACATTCTGTACAGAAATACCAATATTTCAGTAGAAAGATCTCGCAGTAGGTTATGGTGCAAAATTTATTATTATAGCCCACAGTAGAAGTGCTAACTGTATCCACGAAAGAGTAACTTCTTTGTGCAGCCTGCATCTCAAAAACTATGAACATAACCATTTAAGAACTTATTAGGGAAAAAAAGAGTTATCAGAACCTTGGAAAGAAATCCTTTGTGCCACCACAAACAATAAAACTTCTAGGGTCCAGCCTATTAGCTACTCTTTTCTACATAACAGCCCTGTAGGGGCTGCTACAATTAAAACCATATTTACTTCCCACGTTACCTAAAAGAATTTATATTTGTAAGGAGTCATTCATTTGACTAATATATATTAATGCTTAACAAGTCCCAGATACTGTGTTAGGGAGTTATCAGGAACAAGACAACATCCCAGTACTCTGAAGCTTATATTCTAGTGGGAAAGACTGAAGGATAAAGTGAAAAAGAAAAAAAAAGAAAAAGAAAAACCAAACCCACTAAAATAAACTAATAAGCAAATTCATTTCAGACTGTGATAGAGCAATAAAGGAAACAAACAGATAATGAGCAGGAAGTGCTGGAGGTGGCCCCTTAGACGGGATGGTCTGAGTGGTCCCCCTTGACGAGGTGGCACCTGAGCTGAGACAAGCAGCAGCTCAAAGACAGTTTTCCAGTCAATGGGAAAAAGAGCAAACGTTCAGAGGCAGGAAAGGACTGCTGCAATTTTTGAAGAACAAAACAGAGCTCCCTGGTACTGCTGGATCTCTCCCCGACAGAGGGAGAAAATTACACGAAAGGAGGCTGTACATGCAGGAAGAAGTCAGATCATGCAGGGTTTTACAGGGTCATGGCAAGGAACATTAATAATGTTCTTTGAAGATGGGGCTTTTAGCAGCGGAAATAAAATGAAATATGAGCCAGAAGACCTAGGTCAAAGTTGAGACTTAATCACATACTAGCCTTGGACCACAGGAAAGACACTTCACTGCTCTGCCTCAGTTTCTATATCTGTAAAACATCTATCCACCTCAAAAGATTCCTATGGATTAGGAGGATTGTCAGGATCAAATTGGATACTGTACACAAACATATTTTATAATTTCAGGAGTAACAGAAAGGAATATAGTATTGTCCAGAAGCAAATAACAGCTACTAAAAGACAATTACCTGGCAGAGCAGTGTGCTGGTGAACACCTTCGGTGAGAAGCATCGGCAAGAACGTCCAGTGAGTAAAGGGGAGACAGGGGATTGAACTGCAGGAATGAATAAGACTATTTCAGTAAGGCTTACATGAAACGGACCTGATCCTAAAGGGTAACCTACACTTTGATTACTTTTCCCCTTTGACTGTCCAACTCTTTTGTCAAACACAGGCACTGTTCAGTAAAGTCACGCATATTTAATAGTGTGCCTGTGAATGTACCCAACCTGATCTAGCACGTGTCAAAAAAAAAAAAAACCCTAATCCTTATTAAACAACACTTTTTCAAAAACTTCTGATATACAATAGTCACTTAAATGGCAGAAGAAGTTTTTTTCCACATGATGTAACAGGAACTTGTGCCTGCTGATTATCAACTATGTATCAGCCCTTGTTCCCAAGATTAGCATGAAATTACTTTTTCATTTCCTTATCCTGGCAAATGTTTCCAAGAATAACTGACTGGTTGGCACATAACAGCAGCATCACATTGTGGAAAGAGAACTAGACTAAGAATTAGAACACCTTTTAGTTCCAATCTACCACTGATGTACTGGGTGTCAAAAATTACATAACCTCTGAGCTTTACTATCCTCATCTGTTAAATGAATATATCACTATCTGTCTTACCTAATTTTTTTTTTTTTTTTGAGACAGACAGTCGTCGCTCTATCACCCAGGCTGGAGTGCAGTGGTATGAACTCAGCTCACAGCAGCCTCCACCTCCCGAGTTCAAGCAATTCTCCTGTCTTAGTTGCCCAAGTAGGTGACATTACAGGCACCCACCACCACGCCTTGCTAATTTTTGTTGTTGTTGTTATTGTATTTTTAGCAGAGACAGGGTTTCGCCATGTTGGCCAGGCTGGTCTCGAACCCCTCACCTCAGGTGATCCACCTGCCTCAGCCTCCCAAAGTGCTGGGCTTACAGGCGTGAGCTACTGCGCCAGGCCTGCCCTACCTATTTTACTTTCATTGCTATCATATTGCTTTTAGAGTATAATTTCAGTTTCTCATCTGCAAAAACATCTATTTGACTTCAAAATGTGGCTGTGAGGATCAAATGAGATCCCTCACTTTATGTTTGCTAGCTTTCTTTGGACTTTTTCCACAACCAATAGTCCTCTCCAAAAAGTTTAGAACTTAATACCTTGTAACATACAAAGACTGGAAGACCCTGGAATGATAACTTCAAACGTGTTTTATGAGAATACAAACTAAGCAACTGTTCTATCTGCCACAGAGGTTCCAATCTTGGTTCTACTAGCTGTATGACTTTGGGCAAATAGTATGAATCTTATAGATCTCCGGTTCATCATTTGCAAATAACAGATCTGGACCAGGTGACTGCCATAGGTCCTCTTCTGCCTTTAGATCCTCTGATGCAAACATGATTAGTGCTCTAGCTTAGTGTTCCCCAAACTGCAGTCTCTCACATACCACCTTCATGATTTTCCTTAGCTGCCTAAAACCTGTACTACTGTTTACTTATTATTTTTCCTCATATCAATTATTTTTGCTCGGCTTTGTCCTTACTACATTTCTGTGAAATAACAAGCTTGATATAATAATTACATCTTTTCCAATGTAAACTATAATACATAACTTAAAAATTGTGCGTCCACACGCCATCTAAAATCATCTCATACACATACACCAGTTAAGTCTTCTACCACTCTAGTTCATTTTGAAACAGCAGATTCATAATGAAGATTCCAAGTCTAAAATGTGGATCATGTGTATCAACTCAATAAGCTACTAAGTCGTTAAAAAAAAAACACGACAAACAGAAAGACTACAACTTTTCACCTGTGAGTGTTCATCTATTTTACAACTAATCACCAAGATAAAGCAATCCTCCAAAAAAAAAATCACAAAGCTTCACACATAAAGAAACATATTGATAACTACTATGAATTAATTTTTAAATTGTGAGCCCTCCACATGGGCCTAAATATGCCAAGGGCCCCCTCAGGGGGTTGCTAGGGAAAAGACTAAGAAGGAGAGGCTCTATGGCAGGGGTCCCCAACCCCAGGGCCGCACAGCAGGAGGTGAGCTGTCAGCAAGCAGCTGCTTCCCATCGCTGGCATTACCGCCTGAGCTCTACCTCCTGTCAGATCAACAGCCACATTAGATTCTTATAGGAGTACAGACCCTACTGTGAACTGAGCAAGTGAGGGACCTAGGTTGTGGACTCCTTATGAAAACCTAATGCCTGATGATCTGTCATTGTTTCCCATCACCCCCAGATGGGACTGTCTAGTTGCAGGAACACAAGCTAAGGGTTCCCATTGATTCTACATTATGGTCAGTTGTATAATTATTTCATTATATATTATAATGTAATAATAATAGAAATATAGTGCACAATAAATGTAATGCACTTGAATCATCCCGAAACCACCCTCCTCACCATGCCCCCAACCCGGGTCCATAGAAAAACTGTCTTCCACAAAACTTGTCCCTGGTGCCATAAGGTTGGGGACCACTGCTCTAAGGCTTTGACCCCACTTCACCCAGAGCAGCTCTACCTTCTGCTTCATACGTTTAGGCTTCAACATAGTACTTCTCAACGCAGGATTCTCATGTTGAACTAAACCATATGCAAATGAGATTCATTCCGCTTTCTTACTGCAAAGTTCAAAACTAAAATAAAAACAGGATTCCTATGAAATATATGCTACAAGAAACTAATGATCACAGTTGAACCTACAAAGAGGAAACAGCTGCAGTTTTTACCAGTAAGTATTGGTTACTCTTAGAAAACAGTTCTCCAAGAAAATCAAAATAACAAGAAAGAGGAAACCTTACCTCATGTGCACAAGCAGAAATGTGAGGAAAATCAGAAGCCAACGCTTTATTCTTTCTAAAGAAAAGGAAACCAAATGATAAAATAAAGATGACAAAGAAAAACGATCTTACCTGATTTCCTTCTCTTTTCCCAGCTGATGGTAACCAGAAACTAAAGGGAGGGAGAGAATAACAGGAAATAAAACAATAAAAGAAGTGATAGGAAAATTACAGAAGGGAGAAGAAGATAAGATGTTGGAATCATGAAGTAAAGACAAAGCAGGGAATAGAGAAAAGATGCAATCATAGGAGAAGACATTAAATGCATGTGAAGGTTCTGGAAAAAAACAAAACAAAACCTCTTCAAAGGAAAAAGGCTTGTAATGTAATATAAAAGACTAGACAATAGAAATAAACCCAAGATTACAGTGTGACACCAATACTCTCTCAGTTGTGCAGTGACAACAGAAGCCTCAACTCAACAAGGGCATAAACCATACCCACATCTTTATTTTCTATGTTAAAATTAGCCCGGGTTGGATGTGTACAGGATCATAACTGGGTACTGACCATGATGCATACAAGATATATGAAAGAACCAACCATTTTAGGGGACAAGGCTGTCACGAGAATTTGCAGAATTATTTTCCTGTAGCTACATACAGGCTTCCTACAGCACTCACCACAGTAATTAGAACAAGATATTTCACAGGTTGGGCGCAGTGGCTCACATCTGTAATCCCAACACTTTGGGAGGCCAAGGTGTGCAAATCACTTGAGCCCAGGAGTTCAAGACCAGCCTGAACAACATGGCAAAACCCTGTCTCTACAAAAAATACAAAAATTAGATAGGCGCAGTGGCACATGCCTGTAGTCCCAACTATTCAGGAAGCCCAAGTGGGAGGATTGCTTGAGCCTAGGAGGCATAGGTTGCAGTGAGCCATGACTCCACCACTGCACTCCAACCTGGGTGACAGAGCCAGACCCTGTCTCAAAAAAAAAAAGACATTTCCCTATGAAAAGGTCTAAAAATGGGAAGAGAATATAGGAGGATAGAGGCAATCATCCATTTTGGAAAAAAAATTTAGAGACAGAAAAATTAGTTTAAAATAAACATCTTTACTGGAGGCTACTAATGCAGCATCTGCAGGTATAAAAAAAACAATACAATGAAACTAGTCTAGAAAGGAAAAGAAAATCACTATCACAGGTTTAGGATGTTGCCATCTTTAACTGTTATAAAGTACAAATCTTTAAGATCTCTTTGAGCTCTGAAGCCTGATTTCTAAGTTGCTCCATAAAACTCCCCTCTGCCTCCTCCTCCAAGGAGCAGACTAGCACAGCCAGTAAATATGTAAGCACTTACTCTTTCTGCCGAGGGTCACTAATGATATGGCTTATCCTCTCAGTCCCCAAAGTGTTTATGCTGGTCTCCTAAAAAGACAAGGCAGACAAGAGTATCATCCAACCACAGAAACAAACATATAAAGTACAATATCAACCTTTCCCATAATTGTGCCAGCTAAGGCAACCTCAAAAGGCACATGTTAAAAATCAATCTTAAAATAAAACAGCACCTATATTTCTTTTTATTGGAATTCATCTTAAAGTATTACATGTTACCCTACATTTATTATTCTCCAGTGATCCAAAAGTCTTTATCAACACTTTATAGACACTATTCACCATATATGGTATTTTAATAAGTACTATACCTCCTGGAACTACTGCAGTATATAGGAGTAAAAATCCTGTTTTAGAAAATTCAACAGTAGCCAATTTTTAACAGGGCAGCACACCAAGCTCCCTAGAGCTATGTGATTATAGTCCCAACAGCCTTCATCCTAGGACGTTACTAAATCCTCACTGGTAAAAGTCTCTGCTGACTAAATATAAATACATTAAAAGAGTTTTGTGACTTGCAAAAATTGTTACTCTGTACTTTGTCCCTCAAACATCATCTCAAGAAATAAAAATAGAAATTTGTATAAAATTGATTCCTAAATTCAGGGTTCTCAACATCATTAGTATAAAAGCTTACCCCATAACACCACAAATAGTTCAGAAATCAACCATTTCCAAAAAATTGGAAAACGGCAATTCACTCTTCATTTGAGTACATTCCCAATGCTTACCTACCATGGCACCTGGGAAAGCATACCAACACACATCTGAGTAACTGTTGTGTTGAGATAACACAAGTCACGGGCGTGACTGTCAAGAATGTCAAGGCTGTTCTTTAAACACATTTGTGTCTGGACAAATGTTATTATCTGTATTCATCTATATGTGTGGACTGTCCTAAACATCAGGCTACACATTTCAGCTGAACTGGCTATAGAAAAATTACCCTGAGGTCAGAGTCCGGGCAGTAGTGGAGTTAAATGAGAAGTTTTCATATACTATATTCTTCACATTCTGCATTTCTTATAGCTATGCCTCCTGGTCACAGACACAGACATGGTAGGGGGGCCAAGGGAAAAGATGGTTGAAAAATGAGCTATTTGTTACAGCAGAAAAATTATTAACTTAAAGTGCCGTAATGTTTAAATTTACAGTTTATTACTGTGTAAATTACAAGCAGTACTTTGTGTAATTAGCAGCTCACTGGCAGGGAGCTGTGAATGAAACTCATTATTTACGATGACAATTTAGAAAACCAGAAGCGAGATGGGGGAGGGAAGAAGGGGGCAGAGCAGTGACCTCTGCTAGAAATGATAAATATCGCTGTGAGGTGATGAAGATGAATTAAACAAGTAAATATTATCCTACTCATTTGACATCATTAAAGGCACATCCAACAGGCCCTCATTCCCTTCCAGGCAAGCTAAAGGGAAACCTTCAAGACAAAGTGACTTGCCTCCATGGACGTGGATGGCTCTCATTTTATAAGAGCTGAAAGAAAGTAACATAGGTGGCAGGGGGAACATTATCTGTCAAGGATCTGAAAAAAATCCTCTCCTTCCTCCACCCCATGTGCTACTATTCTGCTAGCTATTCCTGTTAACAATAAGCTCCCGGAGCAGCAAAAGCAGTGCTTTGTCTGTAAAATGAGTAATTCGAAAGGTATCAGTCTTCCAATAATCAAATGTCTTCTAATTCAAGATTTGAACTTGAGGCCGGGCACAGTGGCTCATGCCTGTAATCCCAGCACTTTGGGAGGCCAAGGCAGGTGGATCACCTGAGGTCAGGGGTTCGAGACCAGCCTGGCCAACATGGTAAAATGCTGTCTGTACTAATATTACGAAAAAATCAGCCAGGCAAGGTGGTGGGTGCCTGTAATCCCAGCTACTGGGGAGGCTGAGGCAGGAGAATCGCTTGAACCTGGGAGGTGGGAAGTTACAGTGAGCCGAGATAACACCACCGCATTCCAGCCTAGGTCACAGAGCGAGATGTCGTCTCAAGAAAAGAAAAAAGATTTGAACTCAAATTGAAAGATAAAAAGAAATAAGTATCCTGGGCTCGTCTGGAAATAAACAGCCTCATTTTTTTTGCATGCCTAAAACTTCAGAAAACTGTTCCCTAGTCAGGCTATAAAACAGTATCCCCTTAAGGGAAGCCAGACTGTGGCACACATTGTGCCACCTAACAGGCATTCTAAATGCTTACCAAGTTACAATTTGTAACTTACCAAGTTACAACTTGTAACTTACCAAGTTTGTTCTTACCAAGAACAAACAAATTAATGCTTCAATGCCGCTCCTTTCCTTATTCTTTGCCCACTACCATCTTCTCTGAATGAGGATGAGCCCCTGTCTTAATTTATTTCTCAATCTCAAAGTAGAGTAAAAAATAAAATTCAATAAAAATGTAAAAAGACAAAAGTAGACCTGGGTTCAAATCTCTATTCCACCATTCCTATCTGGGTAACATCAGACATTCCTTAACTTCTTCGAACCTAAGTTTTCCTCATCTGCTAAAGGGGCTTGCCCTTTTTCTACAAGGTTGCTGGAAGGATTAAATGAGTTGAGTCCCTGGCATCATCCCTCGCAAAGGCAGAACTGAATAAACAGCAGATAGTTCTCCCTCATGGCTGAGGGGCTCTTGAAACTCAATAACAGTTTTTTTTTTTTCTTTTTTATGAATTCTAGGATGAAAGACCAAAGTTAGGAAAGAACAAAGATGCATTCATGAATTCAAGAGGAGTCATAAAGAAGCCAAGAATATTTTAACTTACACAATAACATAACATTAATCAAAAGTTACAGAAGGCACAGCTCAGGCTTGTAGGTTTACAGGCAACAGACACTGTAATGACAGTGTTTGCTTTGTCAGAACTTCTGTATGAATTACGTTTCATCTTTTATTTGTATATCCATTCACATTCTACATAATGTTCACTCTTGTAAACTCCCAACACATTCCAGTTGGCTCCATTAACTTCAGGGAGTTCTGTAGCACCTCTGATTGTTAACAGGGTACACAACTCCCGTAGGGAATATTATCTCCCCACTGAGCCCAGCAAACTGTGAGAGGTATCACCTTCCCAACCAGCCTTCTTCGCCCCTTTCTGAGGCACCGAGCTGCAGCTCCAGGCAGACGATTCAAGCGAGCATGATACCCTAAAAAAAGAAGGAAGGCCTCAGATACCGAATGCAGAAAATCCAAATGCAATCCTGTGTTTCTAGAACACTGAAGGCTTTACCCCCAGGATCTTACTAGATTGACCTTTAAACTAGTATCACAGAGTTATCTGCCGAGGATTTATTATTCCCAGGTCTTTGTCACTAGCAGTATGATCACAGGCATGCCATTTACCTTTGACCTAGGCATCCTCCATCTATAAAAGAGGGATAATCACTCAGTCCTACCTTACTGGGCTGTTTTGAAGACCCAATGAAATAGCAAATAGAAGGGACTTTATAAACTGAAAACACCACACAAACATAAGGTACTATTAACAATTTTTAACTTAAAATTAAATGTTAGTTTCTATGTCAAAAACATTCTAATTCATGACATAACAGGGAAAATAGCACGCATCAGATAACCCAATTTTTCTCACTGCTGCATGTGTTCTACACAAGGAAAGAACAACTAGAGGAAACCACACCAAAATGTTATTAATGAGATTGTCTCTGGATATGAGATTATAGGCCATTTTAAGTTTCTTCTTACTATTCTTGCTTATTTGTATATATTTTAAATGGTCCATTAGAAACTTTTAGAAATGTTCATCAAAATGTTCAATACAGCAATGTGTGCCTCAGCCAGTCCTTACCAAGAACCAACCACTGGTTCACCATGACAAAAAAAATTCACCATGACAAAATCCTACATAATACGAGTTTACATCTCGTAGTGTGATTATGATCACCAACAGATGTTCAACAAATTCTTGACAACTGATTAACTGGTTGATTATGGGTTACTGGGAACCCCAAAATCATAAATTTGTAGCGCTAAAATAAATGGTTTTGTCCAATGTCACATATCTTAAGTGATGACCCTGTCATCCCAAGAAAATGAAGCGACTATCACAGAGCTTGGTAGACAGTACCAGAGTAATAACACCACATTTCCATCTCTCTGTCCTAGGTTCTTTCCACCCACTTTGCTACATCATAATTGAAGAAAAAGCAAAGGGAAAAGGAAACATATTTGTGTTAAAGTCCCCAATAATAGGGTCATTAAAATAGAACTACTTATTTTAAAAGCATCCATTTTTAAAACACCATTATATGTGAATACTCTTACTGAAAATAAGAATGTGTAGATGAATGTTCTTATTGAAATCTGTTCTCTTCCAAAATCCGATACTCAATAACCTATCAGTTTCACATCAGGGTAAGCAGCTGTCACTAAATCTGGCACAAACGGCAATGGCAAGCTGAAGGAATACCCTGCTAATATATATGTCCCAAGAGATTCCATGGATTAGTTTAGGAAGGAATGGAGAGAACCTTAAGCTTTGAGACTTACTTTGAATCCTCTAGAAAATCCCTGAGCTAGCTCCAAAATTCAGATAGTTAAATGTGTGATTGAAGACATGAGTATGCTTGCTAGGAGATGATTGCTCTGCCCAAGGAGAACCATAAAAGCATTAAGTTCTTGGTCTCCTCAGAACTCACCTCTTTGAGCTGGCCGAGAAGGTAAAAGGAATGTGGAATCTGAAAATTTATCCAATCCAGAATCCATTCTTTCTACTTCAGAACAATGATCAGGAGCCCACTTGGGCAGAAGATTAGCAACAGTGAATCCTGGGACACATTCTCCTTCATAGAACCAATCACTCTGCTCATCGTCACCTAAAGTAAAGAGATCATATCATAAGCTAGAATTTTAAACTAGGTCTGAGAAAAACAAATGAGAAGGATGATTTCTTAGTGCTATAGTTTTGATCATCTTTTTTTTTTCCTTTTTGAGACAGAGTCTTGCTCTGTCACCCAGGCTGGAATGCAGTGGCATAATCACATGTTCAGGCAATCCTACCACCTCAGCCTCCCGAGTGGCTGGAACCACAGGCTCATGCCACTATGCCTGGTTATTATTATTATTTTTTTTTAAGATGAATTCTTGCTCTGTTGCCTAGGCTGGAGTGCAGTGGCATGATCTCAGCTCACTGCTCCCTTCAGCTCTGCCTCCCTTCCCGAGTTCAAGCACTTCTCCCTGACTCAGCCTCCTGAGTAGCTGGCATTACAGGCACCGCCACCACGCCCGGCTAATTTTTTTATTTTTTAGTAGAGATAGGGTTTTTGCCATGTTGGCCAGGCTGGTCTTGGACTCCTGACCTCAACTGATCCGCCTGACTCAGCCTCCCAAAGTGCTGGGATTACAGGCATGAGCCACCGCACCCAGCCTTTTTTTTTTTTTTTTTTTTTTTTAATTCTTTGTAGAAACTGGGTCTCCTTATGTTGCCCAGGCTGGTCTTGAACTCCTGGGCTCAAGCAATCCTCCCACCTCAGCCTCCCAAAGTGCTGGAATTACAGGCTGATTATACTTTTAAATAAATCAAGGCACACAAAAAAGAAACTGTTCTGGTTCTTCTCGATTCATATTGCAATGAAAACTGAAACGTGAACCTGATTTCACATAAATGTCATACTGTGTTAAACTGGACTGCTTTAACAGTTAAAAATAAATAAATAAAGCTATCACTTACTAGGCCCTTACAACCTACCAGGATCCATGCTAAAAATCTGTAAATATGTCATCTCTTTCAAGCCCTACACTAACTCCAACTTACAAACAAGGCAACTAATGCCTAGAGAAGTCAAGGTCAATTTAGTAAACAACGAAGCCAGGATCTGAACCCAAAGCCTGACTAACTCAAAAGCCTGAGATCTTTATTACAAAAACAAACTGCCTCCCCTATACCATTCTCAGTGGTATAAACTTGGGGGTTCAAAGCCCATAAATGTTTCTCAATTCAAAGCTAGCTATTCCTGAGGGATTTCTTGCTATATTTGCCTCTCTCATAAAAGGTGAATAAAGAATATACGTCTATACTTCATTTTATCCTTGGTATCTCATTAATGGGACAGAAATCATCTTGACACTAGCAATCCAAGCTACTGGGGGAAAAAAAAAACACACAGCAACAAGTAACATAATTCCCTAAGACTTTTCAATAAGTTATACCATTTTCCCAAGACCATATTGTTAATTAACAGCAAAGTCACAACCAGATCCATATATCCAGACTGTTGGTACAAACTTCTCTCTACTGGCTGCAATGATAGTATCTCAGTTTCCACTAGAGTTTATTCCTGCCAACAAAGAATAGATAATTTTATGTCTGCCACACCATACTCCTTTCAAAATAGCAAAGTTGAAGGAAACTATTACAAGAATATCTAAAAGAGTTCACAATGTAGTCATTCTCTAATGTACACTGGATTCCAGAGAAGTTGCTCAGAACATGTCAATCCCATGAAGTATGAGATTCATGGGTCATTAACACCCAGGATAGTAACTCTTAAATCACTGTGGAGATCTCCAAAATGGGCAATGAAAACTGCATTCTGGTAAAAAGCAGCAGATATTACAACTAAGAAAGTTACTCAAAGTGTTCCCTTATGAAAACACACCACAAACAGCTGTCTCTCTGATACAGTAGTTCTCAACTTTGAGCATGCATCAGAAGCATCAGAAGGGCTTGTTAAAACATGGACCGCTGAGACCTAACTCCAGAGTTTCTGATTCTAGCCTAGGCAAGACCAAAATTGTGTATTTCTAACAAGTTCCTTCATGATGCTAAGCTGGCCTGGGGACCACGTTTTGAGAACCACTACTCTAAAAGCATCTCACAAAATCAGATACACAGATGAACTGAAGACAGGCATTAGTGCATAATAATTAGTTTCTCTGTACTTCAATATATTAATTCTTTTCTTATTCATAAGCATTCCTCAAGACATTTATTGAAATAGTATATTTAATTAGGCCATGTTTTCTGAAGACAAATGGCAAACTATAATGGATATTTTTTTGGTTCTCAAGCATTCATTCAAGATTTTTAATAACACAAAAAGGGACTCTCTGAACTAGAAGGAACATTGTGAGATCATGTAGACCAGTAGTCTTCAATCAGGGTTCACTAAGATGCCTGACAGAGGAGCTCCTTAAAAGAGTACTGCCAGGGAATAAGCAAGAAGCTGGATGGATCAGGTTCCTGACCTCTGGCTCCTCTAGAATTTTGCTTTAAACCAAATAGACTTAGTTGTTTTACAGTCTGAGAATCTATGTATGATTTTGTTTGGGGGAAAAAAAGGAGAGTTTTCCCCTTAATTGGATTATCAATAATTATTTATTAAGCATTTACTATATGCCAGGAACGTGCTAGGTACTGCAGTTGCACATAGTAACTCCTGCCTTGAAAAGCTTCAAAGGAAAAGACGTGTACCTACAAACAATAACATAATCTAGTGAGTACTAAAAGAAACAGTAAGTATAATACAAGGAGCCACAGAGAACAAAGGAGAAAGGGCTATTGGCCAGAAACCCCTCAGCAAACACATGGCACATTTAAATGTGGTCATTGCAGAGATGTAATGAAGTGACTATTCACAAAGGTATAGACAGTACTAACAAGGAACCCCACAAGGGATGGTGAAGCACATCAGGTAGAGCCAGCACAGCAGGAGGCCCTTACCATTCCTAGACCTGGAGTGGCAAGGGAAAGAATGGTTATCAGAGTCCAAAGAACTGCAGTTATAAAAGAAGGCTGCCAAACAAGAGTGGTGGCCCTCAGCAGAGGAACATAACCACTGCCAACCAGCAATCCAACAGAAAGGGTGTCAGGGAAAGCAATAATCTAATGTGGTAGACTGCATTAGCGTTTCTAAGTCCTCTCTATAATAGAATCATTCATCCATGCCTTTTGCTCTTTGCCATTGGATTCCACAGTACCTTCCCTTTTAGGAAGAGCACACTTCCTCATCCTACTGACACTGGGCTTGGTCATACGACTTGCTTTACATAGTAGAAAATTAACAGACATGATTCAAGCAAAGGTTTTAAATATGTACACATGGTTTAGCCTGGTCACCTGGCATTTACATCCTCTGCCACAGGAAGTCCATGCTGCCTATCACCATTGCTCCTCCACCCTAGGTCCCAAAATACAATACACTGAGCAGATGTAAACCTAACTTGAAGCCTGGAGACCAGTGGAGCCCAGACGAGATCAGTGGAACCATAGGCAACTCACAACCCCATAGCAAAAAATGAGTGTGGTGAACTGTGATAAGCCACTAAAATTTGGGGGCTGTTAAGCAGCATTACCACAATAAATACTTGACTAATATATCCAATATCATTCACCTCCCTCCCTTCGGTCATCTGTTGATGCCTCCTATAGGCCAACTCCAACAAGAAATTGAAACCAAGAAGACCCACTGATATAGTTCATAAATATGCCCTTGCAGGGGCAAAAGGAAAACTGTGTCTTGGTAGACGATCAGTCATTCAAGGAAGATGAGGATGAGATTTCAGGCAGAAAGACCAGCATAAACAAAGGCACAGAGGCAAGAAATTCCATAGCTTTACACTGAGAACGCTAAGCATCAATGTCACCAGAATGTGTGAAGCTGAAGCAGAGAAAGAGAGGAAAGTTGGGTCTACAGAATATTCTATAATGTCTCATGATAAACTAAGGAATCCTCATCAGTGAAAAGGCTTTCCAAAGGCCCAAAAACTTAATCTGCTGTAACAGGTCCACACTTTCTTCCATCTCTATAATTATGCATCATAACCTTTAAGAGGTGCATTTTGATATTCCTAGAACTGTAGAAAAGCAAAGAAAAAGAGCAAATATTGTTAACTCTGAATAGTATATATAACTCATTCATGGAAAGACATCAGACTTTCCTGGTATGAGATAATAAAATCAAAAGAGCCTACCTGTACATACACACACATAATCTCTAGTGACACCTAATTCCCTCAGGATCTAAAAGAAATGTACTCACAACAACCTCCATTATAGTAGGAAGCTCAACAACTCCAGGAGGATAAACTGCCTCTATGCCTACAACTTTGAGGCATGAACAAGATGCTGTCCCCACAGTCCTTCTCCAAAAATCAGGACTTGGATGCTAAGTCTCACAGCCCCAGTATCCCTTCAGTTACTGGGGAAGCTACCTGGATCAACCTAGACATGTAGCCACTACGTCAGTCCTTTAATTGCTTAACCCATGGAGAAAAATTATTGGACTTTGGAGCTAGAAGGGACTTTAGAAATCCCTAAGTCCCCTATTTAGATTAAGAAAACCACAGTCCAAAAAGACTACATAAAATTTTTATTGGCATGTGGCCCCACACAAGTCTAGAGGACAAACATTTTCTAAAATACCCTGATACACAGGCAAAGTTTTAAATTAGTGTTTAGGTAGTAAAAATAATGGTAATTAACATACACCAGTCTTATTCACAGGACTCTATACTCCAGGAGTTTTACTTTGAGGAAGATAACGTTTTATACAATATATTCACCTAGAACACTATAATCATTATAAATAAGGCTATAACAGTGAAAAGATTTTCTCTATATGAAAATAATGTCTTAACACCTAAAAAAAGACAGTAACACATGAAGCTATTTCTTGATTCTAATAAAAAGAAACTTCCCAATGTCCCAGGCTCGACACACTGACCACCTAGACCAGCGATTCCCAATGTCTGATCTACCGGCATAAGAATCAGTTCAGGTGCTTGTGAAAAATGCAGATTCCAGGGGCCAACTCTAGACCTATTTATTTCTAGGAGTTCAGGACTGTGCGGTTTTAACAGTTCCCTAGGTGGCTCTCATATGCCTTAAAGTTTGAGAACCACTGCCATAGACAGTCACCATGTTCTCCAAGAGTCACTCCTATGATTGATTATTCAAACATTTCCATAAACACGGAACCAATGTCCCAAAGCTGGGATCAACATTACCTTGTCGCCCTTCATCATTAGTAAAGAGCCCAGTGTCACTGCTGCTACACACACTGCTGGTTTCACTGTAAAAAGAGTAAAACACAAGAGAACTCATCAGCTCCAGTCGATAAGCACCGTACACTTATTATGGTTTTCAAGCTTCCCTAATTTCACTCCAACCTATTAGCCAATCAGATACGTAAATTTCATTGGGCAGGTACAAAATTTTATTTTCCTCCCCAAACAAAAGAAATATAAGAGGAGAATTCTAAAGTTTTCACTTATATTTTAAAGTACTAAAAAAAATCTAAAGTCACTTAGTTAAGGACTAGAAAGCTATTAAAGCTCAAAGACATAATCTCAACCTAGTTTGATATATTCAACAACACAAATTTACAAATTTACCAAACAATTTTATTCTTAAATATTGCCAACTATCAGTCTCCAATGAAGCTATGTAATTTTAAGACGTCTAGCATCTTTAAAGTTTTCCCCATTTACAAAGTAAATAAAAATCCATGAACAAGAAAAAAAATACGGCAAAACTTGTTTTCTGAATTTACTGTCCTCCTTCATATTGAGCAGATACACAAAACTCATTCTGAAAAAAGGAACTAAAGTTAAAAACAAAAATATAAAAACAAACTTCATTTGAACTCACTGAAATACAGCTTTTGTCCCATGAAATTCTGCCCAATCTGTTTCATTTTCTGAGCTACTGCTCACAGTTGATTCTGTTTCTTCTGATGGTGCGCTTCTAAATTTTATTTCTCTGGTTCAAGAAAAACTTCTCAATCCTCTACAGTATTAGCTATTTCCTTGATTGGGAGTATTTCCTTCCAAGATAGTCAAAAAATTTTTTTCACCTACTCTAGAAGATGCAAGAAACCAAAGCGAGGAAGAAGCATTTTCACCATGCTACAGAAAACATAGGCTTGGCAAAATCCCAATCTATATTCCTGGATCAAAAATCTGAAAACATTTTGTATTTTGCAACATTTCCAAACATCCTTCCAACACTAAATCTTTAAAATGCCAATTAAATTAAGGAGCAATGCTTTCCTTACTCAAGCTTGTCCCTGAATATCAGACGCAAAAGATCTGTCACAGAAATAGTCAACAAACAAACCCTATTTTTTTTTTTTTTTTTTTTTTAAAGTTCTGGGATACATGTGCAGAATGTGCAGGTTTGTTACATAGGTATACGTGTGCCATGGTGGAACAAACCCTGTTTCTTCTTCTTTTTTTTTTTTTTGGAGATGAAGTTTCGCTCTTGTTGCCCAGGCTGGAGTACAGTGGTATGATCTCGGCTCACTGCAACCTCCACCACGCAGGTTCAAGCAATTCTCCTGCCTCAGCCTCCTGAGTAGCTGGGATAACAGGAGCGCACAACCATACCCAGCTAATTTTTGTGTTTTTAGTAGAAACAGGGTTTCACCATGTTGGTCAGGCTGGTCTCGAACTCCTGACCTCGTGATCCGCCCGCCACAGCCTCCCAAAGTGCTGAGCCACTGCACCCGGCCCAAACCCTATTTCTTTATAGATCCTTTCATTTCATTTTCTTGTGTACTTAGTATAAGCTGGGCCTCCAACTGTATTACCTAACTATTATAACATTGCTAGAAAAGCAACTGAACCACATCCAAGTGAAATAACAGAGTTAGTGTAAAGAAAGTCATCTTAACGTGCAGCTCCAAAGGTTTTTGCTCTCAACGTTTTACTAGGAAATTTTTCATCACTTAGATTCTGCAAGTAACATTTTGCTTTCCTTGTTTTTTCACACATCTCTCTATCTAACCTTCCCACCAGAGAGTCTTTGAAAACAGAGGCACCCTAAGTAAGCCAGATGATTGGGCATGGCATCTACTTTCTGACAAGTATATTATCATAGGAATCGAGCCTAATAAAACACTATGGAGTCCTCTTGTCCACTGTTAACTAAACACTGTAAACTTGGTACTGACTTGAAAATGCTTTCATCTCAACTGCTTTTCTTTTCAAGTTCTGAAGATGAACTGTTTGCCTTTCAAGGTGCAATTAAACGGTATGGTTTTCAAACTAGCAAAAATTCTTAGTTTTAAAACTGTAGATCAATAGTTTTTTATTCTATATTTTTTATATTTTTACATTCTATCTATAGATCAGTGTTTTGGTTGTATTATGTTCTATAATTTGAAACTCATACTTATTGGTAAAAGCAGAGTCAATAAAGTAAAAACCCAATCTCAGTACCAGAAACATCAAGAACTATGGTTCTCAACTAGAGACAATTTTGCAGACCCTCTCCCAATTTGGCAATATGCAAAAACATTTTTGATACTCATGACTTGAAGCAGAGAAGGAGGAGTTGGTGAACTACTGACATTTAGTGGGCGGAGGCCAGGGATGCTGCTCAACATCCTGCAATGCACAGCACAGTCCCACAACAGAGAATTATCTGGCCCAAAATGCCAGTAGTGCGTAAGTTGCGAACCCTGATCCACGGTGATGAACAAAGCAGAGGGCTGGAAGAGGTAGGCCATCCCATTTAGGGAAACTACTTGAGAAGAGAGGAGCCTGTGCACGTTAGCTGGATGCAGCAGTCAACATCCCATAGAAGCAACAATACCACTTCCTTGCCATGGCTGGGCCAGGGCCTCAAATGATCTGAAGCCTCCAGATCCAGAAACAATCAGAAGGCAGCCGGACCTTCAGACAAACTGGTAGAACTGAAAATACTCACGAGTCATACAGTTCACCCTTCCTTGCCTAACCGGGGCAGAAAGAAGATCCTGTAACCATAGAAGAGAATGATCCATGGATCCAGGGGAAAAAAATATCTTGCTCATCTCAATGTCCCCAATGCCTAGCATAGCGCCTGGCACATATTAGACATTCAGTAAATGTTACGTAAATGGAATGAACTTGTTCTAGACACCTCTGTTGCCTGCCCTTATACAGCCTTGTGGCATGTCACTTCAACTCTTTAGTCCTATTTCCCTACATGTAAAATGTGGATGGATTATTAAGGATGTGACAGTATGAGGTATGTGACCCTGCTTTGTGAACTCTAAAGCAATACACAAATGCAAAGGATGAAAGATTAGAAAGCTACTTCTAGGGCACCAAGTCTGTGTCTAAGTATTATTTTAGAGGTTAACAGTAGTAATTTCCTCACTGACAATCTTCTCATTAGAACAGTACTCTAAATTTTATAAGATGCAAACCTATTTTCATTTTAAATGGAAAAACAAAATATGGCCTATTATATGTATTATTTTTCCTGCACTGGGTTTCATCCAAAAGAGAGGGGGCACTACTCTCAGCCAAGATCTACAAGTGCCTCAGGAAGGGGTTTGGTACTTGAACTGAGTTTAAAAATTATTAATATAGAAGGCTACTATTAACGATACCAAAAATATCATTCACTGAGTTCGACTGCAGGCCAGGTAATATACTAATCACTTTATACTAATTATTATTCTTCTACCCCCAAACTCTACAAGGTAAATACATCAACCTCATGTTACATATGGAAAGGGGCTTAGAGAAAGTATGCAAGTTATCCAAGATCGCACAGCAAGTAAGCATCAGAGCCAGGGCAGTGTATGTCTAAAGCCCATGTGTTCACTGAATGGCCACTACAACACAGAAAGCACAGATATTCATCTCATTTACTAAAGTCAATCAAATGTTTCTCTATTCAGAAGATACCTCTGAATTTCAGGACTTTTCATTCTCCTGAAGATGCAAACAGATTAACTGAGCTAAGGAAGAAGTATTCGTTTGCTTTTAGCTACTTAAAACTTTCAGGCACAGCTGAAACTGCAGCTGCCTTGACTACTATCCCTTATCAGCAAATAATACATCATATATGCTGAACCCTAAGAAAACTAATTATAAACTCACTTTGGAAAGAAGCTCTCCTTCTTAATGCTGTATCTTGAATTCAATTAACACTCATTTTCGGCATGCTGACATAAAATACACCAAATATATTCTCAGGGACCCATACCTCACTTGCCTTTATAGTTTCTGAATGCTCTTCCTTTGAAATCAAAGTAAAAATATTCTCTTAATGAGTTCAGGGGAAATAGCAGAGTCTGAGAATACTATTCCTGACTTTAGCATCACACAAGGCTAGGAAAAAATGTTTCAGGCCAGTAGTCATCTGTGGTAACCAGACTCCCAAGATGACTCCCAATTACCCAACCTCCTATTAATGCACACCCTAGTGTAGTACTTCTCACACTGCACCAGGTCTGGTCTGTATAACTGATCACACACAGCAGAAGCAATAGGTTGCCACTTCTGAGATTAGGTTATACAAGACTGTGGCTTTCATCGTGGGCTCTCTTTCTGACTCTCCTCATCCCTCTCAGATCACTTACTCAAGGGGAAGCCAACTATCATGTCCTGAGGACGCTGATGGGCATGCGGAGGGGCCCATGTGAAAAGGGACTGAGACTCTAAGTCCAACAGCTTTATGAGGAAATGAGCTCTGCCAACAGCCATGTGAGTGAGCTTGGAAGCAAATCCTTCGGCCCTAGTAGAGCCTTGACAGAACTGAGGTCCCTGCCAACAGTTAGACTATAACTTCGTGAGAAGACTCAACCAGAACCATCCAGCTAAGTCACTCTCAGATTCCAAGTGATAAAATGTTCATTGTTTAGCGCTAGTAATTTTTTTTTTTGTTGTTATTTTTTTTGAGATGGAGTCTCCCTCTGTCGCCCAGGGTGGAGTGCAGTGGCGCGATCTTGGCTTACTGCAGCCTCCACCTCCCAGGTTCAGGCAATTCTCCTGTCTCAGTCTCCCGAGTAGCTAAGATTACAGGACTATGCTACCACGCCTGGCTAATTTTCATATTTTTAGTAGAAACAAGGTTTCATCATATTGGTCAGGCTGGTCTCAAACTCCTGATCTTAGGTGATTCACCCGCCTAAGCCTCCCAAAGTGCTGGGATTACAAGCATGAGCCACTGCGCCCAGCCTAGAGCTAGTAAGTTTTAGGGCAAATTTTTCTGCAGCAACAGATAATACAGAATCTTTATAAACTCTTTGTTGAAACTAATTCCCTTCTTCCTAAACAGTAGCTTCTAGTTTCA